CCAGCAGGAGGTGTGTATGTGTGTGAATTAACACAATGTGCCTTTAAGATAAGCTTCAGGACACGGGCTGGTTGGTAGGAGGGGTTTTGAAACTCTCAAATCTTGAGCTTACTTTCGTTATCTGTCTATATAAGTTGTCTTTCAGCTCATGCATCACATGCAGCTGTGTTAGAGGCGCGCAGAGAGACGGGTGAACATGTCAGGCACTCAGGCTAACTTTAAATACTCCTGCTGGGACTTCCTCTTCACTTGTGTGGGCCTGCCGCTGTTCATGCTTGACATAGGGCTGGATATATGGACCGCTGTGTCCTTCTATAAGGAAAAGGCCTACGTGTGCCTTGCTGTTCTGCTGTTTCTGCTCCTGGGCTCGTCACTGCTCACCCAGGCTTACAGCTGGCTTTGGTATAGCTATGACAACTTTGAGATGAAGACAAATGTCGAGAAGCTGCCGTCCCCGAGGCAGCTCAAGCTGCTCCACGTATTTCAGCTGGGAATCTACTTCAGGTAGTATTAAATTAACAAAGCGTGTTTAAAGTGCCTGTAGTAATAATGCAAGAACTCCATCAGGTTCATGCATTAAACCACAAGAGTACAGATTTCATCATCTGTAGTGCTGTGGTTCTGTCAGTTTCATTTTATCTTATTTTTGAACTATTGTGTGAAAATCAGCATTTCTAACTTCCAGAATTCCCGAATCATGTTTTAATTTTCTCTGTTTCACAAGATAAGCTACATTTTGTTTTCTTTCCTTCACCGTGTGTCGGGCAAACTGATTTTATTTGCTCACCTGCTTCTGTACCAAGAATGCTTTCAGGAAAATTCAGCTGGGCGTGTTTGACATTTGTTTTTGCTTTACCTGGTTGTGACTCATTTATTATATTTTGGCTCTCAGGCACGCAGGAGTCCTGGAAAAGGCTGTAGAAAGCTTCCTCACAAAGCTCCCTGACCCTGAGGGTGTAGCTGTGTTCCTGAGCCACGATCTGAGCATGTTGCGAATCGTAGAGACGTTTTCAGAGAG